TTAAATTGAGGAGAATGATTGGACTTAACCCTTTATACAGGCTTGCTTTTTTTCTGGTCCGGGCTAGTTCGCAAAACCTAGACTCCCATGGCTCGCTTGGAAAACGTTCGTACGTTGCTAACCTCTTATTCTCCTCCTACCCTTGAACTCTTCTTGAATCGAGGAGTGAAAGCTTAGCTAGGGTTGTTCCTCTCTCTGATGGATGAGCGGAGAATAGCATTCTGATATGATTTCTTAAGAAAACCTCAGTGGGGCGTGCCCCAACCATAAACCAAACGGGCCCAATGAGAAGAGACCCGCCCTCCCACTCTCTCTCATTTATTCAGCGAAAAAAAACTACATAACGGGGGCCCTTCCGTTCAGAGGTAGCGAATCTACTTTTTTATGTTTTCGGGGGGGGGGGGGGGGATCTCTTGCGTGACCAAGTACAAAGTAGAATAGACTTGTATAGAAAATAGTAATTATCATTTTTTCCAATTCCAATAGGAAATATTATATCGGAGTCTTTTGGAACAACTTGCGGAATTTCCTTGTTCGTTTAAAGTGGAAAGCATCCTTTGGAGATCTTCCAAGGAAGACTCCCGATCTTTTTGTCGTCCTTGAAAGAATTTCTCTCGAATGACTTTTGTCAATTCACATTCATCGTTGGGATAAAGGGATTTCATTTTGGCGATGATTTCATTTTGAATTCAAAGTGTCGAATAGTTATATCCCTTAATTGGGCTTGTTGCTCTGCGTTGAACTCCTTTAGTGGCTTTAGAATGGAGTCTACCCTAATTACATCTTGAAGTTATGCCTTAGGAAGTCGATTTATTAGAGAAGCCATTTCGTTGTCCTGAAGTTCAACGTTGATAAATTTATTGTTTGGAATTTGAATCCGTTGTTCATACACTACTTTTGGCAGTTCATTTAGATTAGGAAGAGACTCCCCCCTTTCTAGGGGCGTTCCTGGTGGGCCTAAGCGCAATTCCAGATCTGGATTGTCAGCGCATTGCGATATTTGCACGACCCCTGTGAAATACATATAGAAACAAACAATACACGTAGAAATGGAAAAAGTTTTCTCAATCTTAGGTACCCATGAATCCCTACACTTATTATAGTGGAAATGCCATAAAGCGCGAACCAAGATCCGTGAGACGAAAACCAAAATAAGAATGAGGAAGAAAAAGATATCGTGATGTAAGTCTAAATAGAACACTAGAAATTTTTTAAATCGATAACAACATTTATAGAGCTTTTACTCTATGATAGTAATGAAAAGATCCAGAAATAACGAATAATGAAACAATTCATATAGTTCAAGAAAGAGTCGTCTCATTTCAAAATTTATGTTTTGCTATTTCCATCATCTCTTACTGTGGTGAGAGGATGATTCACAAGAAAGGTGGCAGGATTCGAACCTACACTCTTCAGGTCATGAGCCTGATGAGTTGACCAATTCCTTTACCCCGCTTCTTTTTTATTAGAAAAGTTAAACTTGATTGTGTTAAGCATATAGTTTAAGTAGCATGATTTCCCTTATTAGCGCTTTTATACTACCTATAAGCTTCAACCTTCCCTTCTCTTACTTAGATGGAGGAGAAAATAAGCAAGACTTTCAACGCGGCTTTTCTTTATTTCTTTTCTTAATTAAGAAATTTCTAGTTAGACTTTGTTTCCTGCAACCAAGCTTTTCCTTTCCGAAATCGAGAAAGAGCACTCCTAAAAGCAACCGTTCTCTTATTCTATTATACGAGACCCTCGCCATGGGTGATACGATTCCAAGAGACAAAAGCATATTCGATTAGCTACTTAGGATGAACCACACGGAGGCGATCTCGAACATCAAAAAGAGATATATAGAATTTAAAAAAGACAGAAGACCTTCCTAAGATAGATGGAGAACTCACCCTCTCTCCTAGAAATCTTGTTTACACGAGCTTTAGTAAGCCTATCCTGTAACATCCTATCGCCTGCCTGCCACTACGCTTGCTGCCAAGCCATCTCCGACTCCTTGAACGAGGGGATGAAAGAGCATGAACTAATCTCTAAACCGATGGACTTCTCTGATAAATGAGATTGGTTAGCTGCTCCCTCACAATATCGGTTCATTGACCGGAATAGAAGGCATCGAAATCTTCGAACACCCAATCCCCGAGGTTCCCCCCAAACCGATTCCTCTGGAATCGAATATTTGCATTTGATCCGACTTCGATCGGAGAAAGCCTCTGGAATTGGAACAGATGTGGTTCGCCCGTCACCCGGTTGCTTATTGATCCCTTGGGTAGAGGGGGGGGGGGGTAAGGCAAATGTCATTCTATCGATACAACGTATTGAGCGACCGCGATGAAGAGGGAGATGCTCCTTTACTTGACTGGAAATGACGGGTCGACAACTCCGAATCACAAGCTATTGACAACTAACTAAACTACTTCGGATGAGGGGTGAAATACGCCGCCTTCCTTAAAGTATACGCGCTTTCTCACTAAATTAAAATTACGGAAGTTAAAGATTTAATACCCCCACCCAGAAAGACGTGTTTTCCATTTTTTAAATAAGGCATGTAAGCCTCTTTGTCCCTCCCGGTTCGGCAGCATAAGCATTCTCAGCTCCTGAAGAAGATGAAGCTACTGAGATAGGAATTAGAAGCTGCTTTTCCGACCGATAAAGCTATTGAGAAAGCCAACAATTCTATCCGTTTATTCCGAATATCTTAGATCGAACATCACAAGCCTTATCACCAGAATTCACAACTCACTCCCGACCGATAAGAGGCGGCTCCGTCCAACCTCGATATTATTGAATGCTCCTTCCATCCAAGCATGAGAGTTGCATTTTATGGTCAGAACTAAATCCCAGGATGGTGAATTAGACTTAGCCTATGCTGGCCTTATACATCCAGGAATCTTCTTAAGTAAGAGGGCCACGACTGTGGCGTTGGGCAGAAAGCCGATGATTTCGGCTAGGCCCTTCCCTTTAACCCGAACAGCCAGATTAATTACAGATCATCCCCTACCTTCGAATCCTTTGACGGACACCAGAGAAGTTAGTTCTTCGCCTATCACATTGGTCGACTTGAACTTCCCTCTAGTCCTAGAATCACTACCTCTTTAAACCTCTGATGATAAAGTCGTAGGTGAAAGCGGGCCTTTCACCCATACTCATTCAAAAATGGGGGAGCTTACTTATCTATTTCGAGAGAGTTTCTACCTATATGTTCGGATTCATTTACTACAAGAAAGCCACTATTCCAAGCGTAGGTCGAGATTTAACAGATGATGTTTTTTTTATACCTCTGTCACTCTATCTTTGTTAGTTCCTTATATTAATAACTGATGAATCAAAAACAAACTGTCAATTGGTATTTTTTATTATCCTCGTATCTGGAAACTTAGGTAAGTTTTTTAAAAGAGTTCTAGTTATTATAACTATATAAAAACGTATCTCATTTAGCTCCTTCATGCCTATTATAATAGAACTACTTATTTCTATTTTGGTGGCTTCAACTATAACCCCAACTCTATTTATTGGTCTGAGGAAGACTTATTAGAAATTTATTGAATGAACAATTTTAAAAAAGAAATCTTTCTGTGAGATTCCAGGTATTCTAGAGTTCGTTCCCGCGTCAATTGCCAATTCTTGGTCATTAAGGTTCATGGGCGATTCGGATGTTTATTTAGGTTTGGAACCCTATATTTTTCCCCTTTCAAATAAATAGAAATGATTGAAGTTTTTCTATTTTTAATCGTGTTAGGTCTAATTGCTATTACTTTTTGGCTGGATTATTCGTAACTGCATATTTGCAAGACAGACGCGGCGATCTGTTGGACCTTTGATTCATTAACATCTCTTTTTTATTGACTTCCTCCTTTTTTTGATCCGCGGGAGGTTCAATTAAGGTTTCTGTTCAAATGAGTGAAGTTCTTGAATTCTAATTAGACCTAACAAGAACAGAATCACGCTCTGTAGGATTTGAACCTACGACATCAGGTTTTGGAGACCTACGTTCTACCGAACTGAACTAAGAACGCTTTCTTATCATAGTAGATACGACTAAAAAGAAAAGGCTTCTTTTTGTACCCCCAATACTAAACATGCATATAGTCTCAGAAAATGAAAATTATGTATGTCCGAATCGATCTCAATGGATCCCTCGTGACTGCCCAGAGGAGAAGAATAGGTAGGGATGTCAGGATTGGAACCCGTGATATTTTTTTCCCAAAAAAAGGCGCTACCAAGCTGCGCTACATCCCTTTCAATTGGTCTACAGTGTCATTGTAGAGAATCCCTGCCCTGTTTTCCACATCGGCAATGTACCTCCATCGATATTCAATTTCTCTTGCCATTTCTTCTTTTTTGTCTTTATTGATTTAGATACTCATCATCATCCCGCCGATCCCACCAACGCTTTCTTACTTATCTTATGAGCAGGGTTCTAAATAATCAGCCCTTTGAATGAATTGAATAAGCAAGGCTTTCCCAATAGAAAGATTTGCATGTGACAGAGATCACAATTCTATGTACCCGGTTAAGCAAGCCCCGCCGCCAGCTTCCACCCAGAAAAAAAGTGAGCGCCTAGAGCGAAATGTTGCTTTACTAAGTAATATAACGTTAGCGCTTTAGTTTGTTTGATTGCTCGTTAGTTTCGTTTTCAATAAGGGGCGGGAAGAAGCGAGCCTAGAGTAGCAGCGCAACCTCTTACTTTTTCAGGCCCCTTTTCTATTCTATTAGTTAAGTACTAGCGCCCTTATAGAGTCAGGATATTCTGCTATCAATGAAACCGAAAGAAAGAAAAAAACCAGTGCCTTTTGTATATATCGAGACTTGTGGCTTGATTCTTTACTTATTCCATACTGGGAAGAATTGCAGGCAATAACACTTATTCCTATTTATTTTAAAATGATACTCGACGATCAAGACAATTCCCATGAAAGTCTTTCATAGAAGTGAATTCTTCTTCTTACGAAGCAAATTACATTTCCTATTGATTTGTCCCATGGACCTATTCTGATTCTGAATTATCCGTCGCTACGCTGTTCCCAAGGACTAGCAGAATCGAAATAGCGAAATTCTTGGGTCATCTCAATGGGTTCAGAAACCACACGTTTCTCTGGATCATCATAGCGTACTTCCACATATCCACTCAGAGGAAGGTCTTTTCGTAATGGATGACCCTCGAAACCATAATATGTTGATATACGGCGTAGATCTGGATGATTGATAGAAGAAACACCAAACATATCCCAAACTTCTCGCTCCCACCGGCCGGCTGATGGAAATGGACTGACTACCGGGGATATTCGTGTTACTTCGTCTGCACTGGTTTGTACACGAATGCGTGAGTTATACCGAGTACTCAGTAAATTATAGACCACTTCAAATCTTCGTTTTCGAGAGGGTTGATCAACTCCGCAAATATCGATCGAAACTTGAACCCTTGTATATGGCAGTCCGTATTGGTATCAGAGCTATTCCCATGTTCCGATCTTTTCATTTTTTTTACCCATTTATTGGGTAAAGTCTCCCAACTATATTTGAAAATGAATTGGTTATCCATAAAGATAAAGAAAGCTTTCCTGTAGTTCCGCTTCTTGCTCTAAAAATTAGGAAAGACTTGTCGGAAATCGCCAGTTGGCTTGGTCCGACCAAGAAAGGCATGGGACTCTTTGGGCATTGCTTGTGTCGAGTGAAGTAAAGACTGGCTACCTATAATATAAAGATACCTCACTGCACACTTTAGATATAATGAAAACCTTTATTTAGGAGTCATTCAGGGTAGATATAAAAAAAGAACATAGCCTTCGTATGATCCCTTTCTAGTACCCTATCTTGAGCAGGAAAGTGTTCAGTAGGAAAAGACTGGAAGAAATAGGATTCGAACCCATGCATGATGCAATCTTCTTGTATGTCGATTTAGCAAACCAATGCCTTAAGGCCTTGTGATATCCCCCCATGATCAGATCAGATAGCCCTTTGGGCAACCAACCCATTTCGCTCTATCATTTCTTCTTTCTTTCCTAGCCTACTCAAAAACTATTTAGGAAGGGCTACCGTTATATACGCAATTAATAAAGGATGCCGAATCATCCACCGAATCCTATGTTTCATCCTAGTTTATTTGATGTGTATACCTGTTTTTCAGTTGGCCTCATGTATATCTAGGCCAATGTGTCTTATTGGGCTTAGTATGTGCTTAGTTTCGGTTAATCCTTAGGTTCTTTTTGATTACGTAGAAACTTGGATTATTTTTAGCCTTTGTAATCGTAATCTAATTTCAATAATTTTTTCCATAAGTTAGTTTCTTTATTTTAGAGCTCGGGGAGTGTCTTGAGTTCTTTGTTTGGTTGCCTGGGGTGAGGTATGCCCCTTCATTTATGTTTACTTCGGGAGTTCTCCTCCATCGGTCAATGTATTCTTACTTACCAAAAAGAAAGACTAGTTAGGTACCGTAGGTAGAGCATATTCCAACACTTCGGATAACCACTTGACATTGGCACCTTGGCCAGGTAGATCCGTCCCACTCTCCGGAGCTCACCTCTGCTTTTTTGGAGTACGGGATGACTCGGATGGGCAGATAAAACAGAACCTGTCAGTTACGCCTTTAGGGGCCGCCACATATAGCTTTAGTTTATGCTGTAGCATCGGTTATTGCTCTGGTTACGAATGACCCAATCTATTTATGGCAACCACCCCTACTTTTAGTAGATGGAGATTCGCACCTAGGAAAGCGCGGAATAGACCTACGTGTCGGCCAGTGCCGGGGCAGAGATAGGGACCATGAAAGCATAGGATTCAATCGAACCTTTTCGGACAATTCCTAACGCAGAAGAGGGATGCTAATAAGCTGACAGCTCAAGCATGGTTTTAATAGCGAAATAAGTTCTTTCTGATTTGAATCAAGAAAGACAATGAATTTACGAGATCTTGATCCGTTTAGTGCCTTCACTTGTGAACAACATGGACCCATTCTGTTGATTGCTTCTCTGCCCCAGCTCTAACAAACTGGTTTTTCTTTCTCACAGAATTAGGGAAATCATTAGATTATTCTTCCTTCTTTCGGTAACATATACCGAGATAGGCTGGGAAATCCCCCTTCGATAGACAGGTGGCAACTTGAACTCTAAGTAAGGACAGGAATGCCCGTGCCCAATCAAACACCACAATCATGAAAAGCACCTGAACCGAGACCTAAGGCTGAACCACTAAAGGAACCTCTTTCCGTTGTTCAAGCAAGTACGCTTTTCAAGCTTTTCCTTACTCTTACTAAAGCAGGCACACGCAAAACTCTCTATTTGGCTTTTCACTGAAACCAATACGTCTAAACATAAGGTAGGTGCTTTCACGACTCACTAAACGGGGGATCAAAATCTTTGCGCAGTAGAGGCGGAGGACGAAGTGAATGTAGAGGACACATCATATCCAGGGAAGGAAGATGGACTGGACTCACTCTCATTCATGGCATGGGCAAAAGCAGCCCTAATGACTTTCAGTGAAGATATGCTTATACGGCGAAGTCAGTCACAAAGTTTATGTTCGTATGCTTTCACTCTAAGCCAACCATCCAAAAAGGATGTGCACAATTGATCATTGACCGCAGTCTTCTCTTTTATCTCCCAATGTGGGGAACTTTTTTCGGTTATTTTCTCTTTAGCACAACACTCAATGGTGATGCATGGCGTAATTACTGAATCCTTTCATTGACCTTTCTTTTCTATAACGAAAAAAGCCCTCCTCTCGGTTATGTGGGTGAGAAACCCAAATCAGAAAAGCTCAGCAAGCTAATGGCTCAACGGTTCTCACCACCTTCCTCTGGCGCAAACACCGTTTGCTGTGCTGCGCTCATCACGAGAACCCAGGGAACTCTCTTGGGTGGACTTCAAGCGCGATGATAGTCAGTCTGAAGTTTTCTACTATGCCATCTTTATTAGTTCAAAGACCGGGCTTGGGGGTTGGTCTCAGTGGTCAATGAAAATGTACTAGTGTGCTGTCTTAACATGCTGAAATTTTATTAGACTGCTAGCTTTACCAGCGGTAGGAGGGTGAAAAGACGGTGCATGAGCGAAGTAGGATCCTCTTTTTTTGTATCCCATCGACGATATTCTTTGGTTTTGGTACATAACAATTTGCATAAGCAAAGTCGAATATTTGTTACAAATCTAGATCTTGCACTCTCATCTCTAGTCTCTAGCTATCATCTTAGTATATTAGTCAAGCTATATCTTGTACTTTCTTGGGCCGAACTAAGAAAAGAGAACAAGAAACGCAAAAGCAAATACGACTTTCAGCCAGCCTACTTCATTCAAGTCTAGGACTTAGGCAAGACTTATAAATCGAGCAGTTATAAAGCAGTTTAATCGCATTTATCATCTCTCACTTAGCTCTGATCTGGTGCCGTCGCTCACAGTCCAAGAAGAGTAGTCCTTTCATTGGCTAGTGGGATTACGCTTAATGGTATAGACCGATCATCGCTTCCTTCCTCTACTAGTTCTGGAGTCAAGCCAACAAAGAAGTAGACTCCTTCCTTTTTCACTAGCTAGCATCATAGGGTTATTCGACGTTTAATGAGATAGTCTAGTTCTAGACTAAAGATAGCAAAAAACAAGACTGAGGTCGATAGGGGCATTACTAGTAATTGCTAAGGTGCTTTATTAAGTATTTTCCACGCTCCTCTCCAGTCTCTTTCCAGCCTTTGTGATTTCATATACTATTCCCGTATGCCATATCTCTTATTCAATCTTGCTATACGTCCAAGCTCGGTAGTTGGAAGCAGAACTGAGTCTGGATGTGACTGAAGGAAAAGGGAGATAGGTGTGATAGGAGGGCACGGTTAAACAGGTAAGCTAAGGCTCTCTCTCTCGTTCTATGGTCTTGTGTGAACTCCTTTCCGCCCATTATTGATCTTCACTCTAACTGAGCAGGTCAAAGAAGTTGAGGTGATAGCAATAGTAAGCAGGGAAGCAGAAGCAAAAGGTCTTCAAAGAACTTTTGTGTAATAAAGCTTCTTGGTCTCATTTCATTGGCCTCTAAGGCAAAGTCTCGCTTAATCGTTCATCGATCTTTTTCTGTAAGGCCTTGGGCCCTACGAATTCTGATTTCTGTTTTTGTTTGTATTAAAGTGTTGGTAGCTTCTAGCCTCGAGCTGGAAAGTCTCATCGGCGGGGGTACTATAGATATATCATAACTCTATAATTGAGACTCAATCTATACAATCAATCAATCAGTATGTGCAATATACCGGTCTTTGCGATATGCTCTTTCAAATAGATCACAGATCTTCCCGCTTAGTTGCACTGCTCTCTGAGCTCTTTTGTCGGCTATCGCTTCCTCTAGTACTAGCTCTGATCTCTCTTCAGCAGTTGCAGTACGATTCTTTAATTTATCTCCTGCCCTTTATAGTTGTAATCGCTAGAAACTCTATATCATTGGCAATTGGCATTGGCGTAATCTTTTTTCTTCTGTTGGAAGGGGGTCCTGTCGAAAGAAAGAAAATGCATTGCAAATGGCGTGCCCTTACTCTAATTCTAAATAAAGCTCTTTTGCGCTCTTGGTCAGGCCTGTAACAAGTATCTAAAAAATCTTTTCTTTTCGGCCTATGGTTCGGTCAAAGCAATGACTTGAGTGAATAAGGAAGTAGGACCTTTTTACCCCAGCTGTGAGTTATTACTGACCCCTCTCTGTCTCTCCCCCGCGCTGTGAATGAAGTGAGTAATTCGTTGGTGCTTGCCCTTCAGTAAGTAGTTCAGATGGCGAGAAGCCTTAGGGTAAAATAATCTTGAACAACAATTTGAGAGCATCTTTGGAATTGAAAGAAGGGGCTAACCTGACTTTCACTTTCATAAAAAGAGAAAACTGGACTTGCACTTTAAGAAATGGAATTGCGATGAGCCAGAAGTTAGAATCTCGCCTAACCACCTGTCTCCGTCTCCCGTAGTTCCCCCCAGAAACATCCGTTTGCCTACTTCTACTCTGGCCGGGGGTAACAGTCTTTTTGAGAACCAAGTGGCCCTTGAGGAAGACCTTCAGAAAACCCCTCTAACTCGGGGAAAGGAGTTCAAGCCCATAAAATGAGTCAAGTCTATGATAGGTACCAATAGTCTTTATGGCGCTCTTACCCCTTATGCAAAGCACCAATGACTTCGGTCTTCTGAAAGGGGCTTAGGGCATATCATCAAAGAAAGAATCCCGGGGAATGGGGTGAAGCTGAGCTTAGAAACGGTTTCTCCCGCTATTGCTAGTTCTTCCGTTGTTGGTAGTTCCTCAGGTCGGGTTGTTTATTTTTCAGAGCTTTTTCAATTCTTTCAGAACCTTTCGTATGCGCCTATTGGAAGATTTGGGCTACCTCCTCTCTTTCCGATCTCATTCAGATAATAAGCCAGTCCAGTTTATTAGATAGTGAGTGGGTAAGAGAGGTGCTTGGTCTGTTTCCGAATGTGGGCCTAGAAGCATTAGCCGAGTCTCTGAATATTCCCAAGGGTTCTCAGGATAAAGACAGCCTTACGGTGCTAACGGAGCTTCCACGGTCTCAGTCCATGAAGGTGCTTACTTTATTGGTTGGCAGCTTGGTTATAGTCGTTATGAAGAATGAAGGAGCGACGAAGGAGCTCACTTCCACGACATGGGAAAGGATCGTGGGATGAGGAAAAGAAAGAAAAGTTGCAAGGTGAGGAGATATCGAGAGGTAGAATAGGTGAAATGAGTTCAAAGGAATTAGTTAAGACACGCTTCTTTAGCACAGACCACAGAGTGAAGTTGGAAGGTTCAATGAACTACGCGAAGGGGAAATATTGGGCGCTATTGTTGTCTATATACAAGTGGCGTAGGTGAAGCTGTGACGACTCGTGGAGTAGACAGCGAGCTCCGCTTGAACAGAAAGCAGCAAGCTGCAAGCACTACTCCAAAAGCAGTGAGCTCCACAACAAAAGCGAAGCGGGCCGCGGTAGCCTATTAAGTTTTTCAGCTGCATCGTACCGTACTATGGGAGGGGTCCGTACCTCCTTTAGATAGAGCCCCCTGCTCCTAATGTAGAGCTAGAACTACTGCTACCGTGGAATCCGCGGTCACACATAAGTATCTCGCCTTCCAAAAAAAGCGGCTGCTAATTAGCACTAATGCTAATGGGGACCATCGATCAAGAAGGACTTCGGAGACTGCAATCGAATTGATCAAAAAAGAGAAATAGGGCCAACTCTTCTAGTTTTGCCTCTAACCTTACTACACTACCCTGATAAAAGGTCGAATTCAACAAGACTGCAGGCACGAAATGCCCATCAAATCCGTTAAAGGAAGCCTAATCAAAGCGGGCAAACAAGAAGATCTGACTAAGTTGATGATGGACCGGATCTCGAAAGGCGAGAGGCTTTCATAAAGACGTATGAGAAACGGAGGGTCGAGAGAGGCTTATTGCACGATCCACCTAACCGCTAATAAATACTGCATAAGATAAGAGAGTGGGAGGCCGGCCCCCGCCCATCTGGAGGTGCACACCCATTTATGAACATATACAAAGGGCTAAAGAGAGAAGTCCATGGAGAACTACCAAATCCAATGACTTTGATTTGTTTGTACCATTCTGTCATCGATCACTGCTGGGTCGGTTGGTAAGTCACCCAAAAAAAGCATCGAGAAAGGTCAAGCATATATGTTTTATGAAATGATCAGCGGTTTCATTTATGCTATGCCCTGCATCGTGTTTGTCTATGTTTATTGAGCTTTCAGCGCCATGCACTTTGCTTCGCTTTATAAAAGAGAGGGAGCCTTGTCTTGAGAGTGAAAAGAAAGGGCAAGCGATAGAAAGGATAGTCCCTCGCGCGTTCGCGAGAACTACTAGAAAATGGTGAGATCATTAGATCATTAGTGAAAGAAGGACCAACGACGATCCTATCCTAAAGGAGAAGAAGGAGTAGGAGGAGTCGGTTTCTTTGAAGATCGAGGAATCATCTCCCAATTATGCCATTCGGAAGAAGTCTTGTACAGAGGGAAAGCCTGTTACGAGTAAGTGGAGAGGAAAGATCTCCAGAGGTTCTTATCTCATTCCATTCCAGTGGCTTAACCAGTAACCAATGGCGAAAACTAAAAAATCCATGGTTTCCCGGTAGAACCCTATTTCGCCCAAGTTGTTTCAGAACCGGAAAAAAGAAGCGGTTTTTCGCACAGCTTGCGCATAGTGTAGGTCCCACTTGTATATCGTATTAGGCCGAAGAAGTATCGGACAGGTTGGAGTTCTTACCTTCTTGGGATTCCATGGACCAAGATCTGCTTTTATTATATGGGCAATATCGATCTACTTTAGTAGATCATATGGATGTAGAAAAAGCTTCTCATTTTGAAGAATTTGAAACATCTCTTTTCCATTTCTATTTACCCAGTTCATATCTTTGTTTCGTGCGTTCCCCGGAGGAATTCGATCTCTTCAATCGCGGGATACCACCTAAATAACTATAACTGCGGCCAGAGAGTGAAATAGGTTGGGAAGAAAGAGTCTGACGTTGGGTTGGACGACATACATCTTGGTTGGTCCCACCACCACTGGGGATTGGACATATATAGAATCTTTCTTCTAAAAAAGTCTTATATATATATATATATATATATATATATATATATATATATATATATATATATATATAATTTTATATTCTTATTTATTTAAATAGCTGCAAGACCACAAAACGGGGTGAAAAAATCCGAAAGCCCTTCTTTTAAGTTCCTCCCAGATACATGGCTTACATACCCGGCTCAACATTCTTGGAAAACAATCGAATCGAGGGTCCGGAGGAGAATTGGCCATTCAATCTTGTGAACTAATCGAGACCAAAATTTGAGAAATAGATACGAACGGAAAGGAATAACCAATCGATGAAAGAACATGAAACCATTCTGTTTCAATAGAGGTACGAGAAAGGGTTGGGGGCAATGAAGTAGGTGAAGTGGTTGGATTTTGCGAGCTGTTCCCACCACTGCTGGATGTGATTCCAAGAGCCGAACGAGAATGAATACCACACAGAAAAGTCAAGACCAGGCTCCCTAATGGAATGTTTAACCGATCCATTCTGGATCGACCGAATTGGTACGGAAGTTGTAACATGGGAAAACCACGAAAAACACGACTTATTTGAATAACCCGGTGACCTACCAATTGTAGAAGTAGGATTTTTGGCAAGCAATAAGCACTTAAATAATACAATTCAAGTGTACCATCTTCTTTCTCATTTCGAGGAAATGGTGCGGAAGGAAAAGGAAACAACGGAGGGATCCGAATCGGACCTAAATGGGAATGACATGAAAAGTCTTTTTCAAAACCTAGAATTAAGGGCGTTACGACGATATATGAGAGGAATGGAGAAAAACTCATGATTGGTGTGGAGGGGAAGGTCTGTTTATAATATAGTTCAAGAAAGAGTCGTCTCATTTCCTTACTTCTTCGTTCTTTCTAATTCATTCACTTCAAGACTGGTTCTGAACGCCGCGTAACATCATCTTCAACCAACCTCCATCGTACCGGTGCGACCACTAAAGAATTGCTTATACACTAAACAGCTGCTTATATACGCTTACTAAAAGACTGACTTTTATTCATATTCAATTCATTAGGCCAATGTGAAACTAAGAAAGATAGATGTGCCTAAGGCATAAGCAAACTGTGCACGCTAAGAGAAGAGGAGAGATGTTCGTAATGACTACCACAAGAAAGCCGCCCCCTCTCTCTAAAAGGGCCCGTCACTTCGTTCGTACCTTCTTGGCTTAGGCTTGCAACTTCACTTACTTTATGGCCTTGCCACCTTTTTATAGCAGAAGCTAAGCGCTTGAAAAGCGCGCTAAGAAAGGTTGCTTCTGTCGGCCTTTATGTGCAACAGTCCACCAGTTGCGGAAGATAGGGTTACCGTACATACAAGAGTCTTCCAGTTCTTACAGAAGCTCTTTCTTACCAGTCAAGTAGTACAACAGCTGTCTCTTATCTTATAGCCCGGCGCGGCGGGTCGCCTTTTTAATTCAGCAGATAGAAGAAAGTATGAGATAAGGAGTAGGTGAGTGAGTCCTCGTTGACCTGAGCGATTTCGATCACCTAGCAGGCCTTTTCTTTGGTAGGTAACATCGCCAAAGCGTATCATCAGATTTGACAACGAAGGAAGGAACTCGGCAGAAGATCGGTCTGCAAGAAAGGCCTACTTATCCACGGGTTCATTGACAAAACCGCCGTAGGAATGGAGACCTTTCAATAGAGCGGAGGCAAACTGATCAACGAGAAAGAGGCCCTACTCACTACAAAGGAATACTATGGTGGTCATACGGATGTGTATAAGCCTTATGGGGAGGACCTATACTACTACGATGTGAACTCGCTCTATCCATTTGTCATGAAGGAATACCCAATGCCTGGTGGTGTACCAGTCTGGTATGGAAATCTGGAAGACAGGGACTTAGATGGCATGTTAGGCTTTATTGAAGCATATATAGTATGTCCGAAAACTATCAAGAAGCCCTTTCTACCCTATCGAGAGAAGGAGGGTACTCTCATCTTTCCAACAGGAGAATTTGTAGGTGTATACTATAGCGAAGAATTGAAGTTTGCTGGAGAGATTGGCTACACAGTGATTCCAATCTCAGGCTACCTCTTTGAGAAGAAGGAAAGCCCATTCAGGGAGTTTGTAAGCTCTTTCTTTTCAAGCAGGTTAGAAGCTAAAAAGTCAGGGAATGATGCTTTGTCTTATGTGTATAAGATGCTTATGAATTCGCTATATGGTAGATTCGGCATTAACCCTAAGGGCACAATAACCGAGATCTGCGATAACGAAAGACGCAAAATTTTAATAAGAAAGACTAATTTGATATCTACTGATGAGCTTAGCGATTCCAAATACATCATTAACTATCATAGCAATACAGAGACATATTATTGGGATCCACTGAAGAACTCTGCTGTCCAACTTGCTGCTGCAATCACAGCCTATGCTAGGATCTATATGTACCCCTACACCTCGAGAGAGGACTCTTACTACACGGACACTGACTCTGTTGTGCTAAGTAAGCCAGTACCTGAAGAATTGATTTCATCTTCTATCTCAGGTCTGTTTAAGCTAGAGGACAGAATAGTTAAAGGATACTTTTAGCTCCGAAGGCCTATTACTTCTGGAATGAGAAAGGAAAGGATAATGTCAAGTACAAAGGGCCTGCGAATAAGGAAATCACTCCAGAATGGTTTCTTTCACAGTACGTTGACCCTGATCGTACGCTAAAAGTAGCGGTGGAAGCCAACTTCAGGATTGAGTGGTCCTCACTTAACATCTTCAAGAAAGACATAAATGTCAAGATTGGGCTTAATCAAAAGCCTAAGAGGATAAAAGTCTATGAGGGGGAGTACTGGGTTGATACAAAGCTTGTTGATGTCAAAGACCTGTCTAGATTAGATAACATTAGCAAAAAACTAGTCATGTTGCTAATGGCTGATGTAACACATCTTAAGAACGAGAATCTCTTTCTCCATGAAAAATTATATCATAAGGAAAGAGAGAAGAAAAAGGGGAGAGACAAGGAGATGAAAGAAGAACCTACAGAGGGCACTAACCCTACTATAGACGAGATACCTAATACTGACATTAAGAAGAAGGTGAAGAAACCTAATACTGGCAAGAAGAAGAAGAAGAAACCCCCGGACTAGAGCCTTCAGTACTTTGGTTGGGTGGTCAGGTGATCCCTAAGAAAATTGGCTTAGAAAAGATGAGATAGGGTGGATGATTGATTGGTACCGGTTAATGATGCGATGGGTCCTAATCAATGTGATTGGCATAGTTCACTTTTAGCCCCAACAACATATAGCAGTTTCATTTGACCGAGTTGAAGCAGCAGATCCAACCAATCCGTTGACCAAGTGAAGGCTGCATAGGCACTAGTCACGAACGTCCAACTCGAAATAGCTACTTCACCCCTGGAACAAAGCAGTGGTCCTTCTTC